GAGCTACACGTATGTAGGTTTGTCGCGGGTCTGGGGGAGTTTCAGCCTCCACCCCTTCTCCTCCTTCTCTCTCTCTCTCTCTGTCTCTCTCTCCCTCCCTCCGCAGCGAAATTCAGGCTCTGGTGCTCCGACACTGCAGCAGCCGCGTTCTGCTTTGAAACGTTTCTTTAGTTTGTTATTGCTACGAGCTCTCACGCTAAAGCGAGAGTTGACTCCTCCCACACTAAGAAAACAGGAGGGGAGGAGTCAGTTGAGCTCCTGTGCCGCGGAGCACAGAGAGGGAGAGAGACGAAGTAAACAAACAAGCAGGAAAATGAAACTTATCGACCTCATTTTTTTTTACCGACCTCAAAAAAAGTTATCGTGCAATTAATTGATTTATTGTCTATCGCGACAGGCCTATGTAAACGTATAAATTAAAAATGTAAACTAAGCACTTCGCTCTCAGACTGCAGGTTTACTTGTGGTTCCTCGTGTTTCTAGAAGTAGAATGGGAGGCAGAGCTTTCAGTTATCAAGCTCCTCTCTTGTGGAACCAACTTCCAGTTTCTGTCCGTGAGGCTGACACTCTGTCTACTTTTAAGATTAGACTGAATGCTTTCCTTTTTGACAAATCCTATAGTTAGACTTAAGTTTCCTGACTTATTCCTTAGTTGTTAATTAGTTCTGCTGCTATAGGCTCAGACTGCTGGAGCACAAACTGAGCACATTTCCTCACTCTGCTGCTGTCTTTAGTCTCTCTTCTCTACATGTTTGTTGTAAATATTTATCATTTTCTTTGTCTCTTCCAGAGGAAAATGCACCTGGACCAGGCCTTCTGTGTTTCTCTCTGTCTCTTTCCTGTCCCTCAAAACCCAGCCGGTCGAGGCAAATGGCCGCCTGTCCTGGTGAAAAATAGAGTCGCCAATGTGCTGCTCAAGATGGGCGACTGTGATGAAGTGATTCAACACAATCTGCTGGCTTCTTTAGATTGATTTTTTTTTCTAATATTGCAATGAGACATTTGTTATGATTTGGCCATATATAAATAAACTGATGAGTCAAATGTAACACTTTATCTTAAGTTTAAGATTTTTCAAGTGAAGTGTGTTTTTTAATCTTATAACATCTGCTGATCTGTCCTCTTCCACATTGTAAAAAGGAATGTGCAACTACTACATCAGCTCCTAATTTTATTTTGTGATGATGTGTAAGCTGACAGAAACATTTTATTTTCTTATCTTCAATAAGGTCTACAGTGTCTTACCAAGGCAAACTCATCTACGTGCAGTCTCGTCTTTTCAATCTCTCCACTTGTGGTGAAAGGCAAGATGGCTGACTCAGCACCCTTGGTGAAAAGCACTTTACCTCCTGGGTAAAAAATAAATAAATAAAATCAAGCAAACATATGAGGATGACAACAGATGAACAAATATGCGCTACAAATTTGCATTTTCTATTCTAAATTAAATATAATTTCACTTCAATAAACTTGAATGTAGCTTCGATTTTTCACTTGCATTCTTTCAGACGTCTTGTGCTTTTAAAGTTTGAGCTTCAAGGTGATATTCTCATGATAAAAAAGTATTTTGTCGCAGAAGCAGACTTTACCTGAAGGAGTTTGCAGTATGACACTCATTCTCCTGCGATTTGGATCAAACTCCAACACATGGAGGAGTTTGTACCTGAGGGACAAAAAAAAGGTCTTTGTTATTGTGCCTTTTCTTTAACAAACTATATAAACCTATAAAATATGTTTATTTTCACTTTCCTGTGATTTATGGGTAGCTAAACAACATGTAACCTGGGACAGCACAAACCACTTCATGCAAAGCATTGTAATGATAAAGATGCGCAAATTAAAACTTTACATTTGAGGTCTATAAAATGCCTATAAAAATGAACAGATCTTAGCAAATGATTGATAAAAAAAAGCCACTGATGAAGAAAATAATTAGAATGAAGAAACTAATATTCAGTTCTGCTTTCTACTGAAGTGGCTTAAAAAAAGAAAAGAAAAAAAAAGAAAATGATTGATCACATGCTCACCTTTTATCATATTCAATTTTACAAAACAAAAAAATTAGATAGTGTTGATTGTAAGAAATCCAAAACTTAACATACTTTTCAAACTTGCCAAATGATTTAATTTCCATGGTATCACCACTGGTGCCTGTGAATGCCACTCCAATTCTGAAAAACAAAAATAATCTGAAGATTACCAGAAGGAATCGAGTGTTGTTGTATATCCGCTCCTCATTCATGTAGTTACAGACCTTCTTTAGTGTTGTAGAAAAACATTCCCTACAGTTCATTCTAACATTTATACTTTGAGAAAATGAACTTCCCAAAGAAACAACAGCAGCAAACAGAAAAGTTAAAACAAAAACATTATGATAAATGACTGAAACTTCACTGTGAAGTAACTAAAAACTGAGGCATTATGTCATGATAAATGTGTCTAAAGCATTCTGTGATTAGTCTATTGAACAGATTCTGTTCTGTACTGTATCTTCTTTCAATTTATATTACAACACAGTCAATGGAGCATAAAGGCATTTAATCATGTGAATACCTACAGATTTTATATCCACACATGCACAAACCTCATCCAATATAAACAGTAGTATTAAAAGGGAGTAATTCTTATTAAAATAAATGGAAAACTGACTATTTAAAGAAAAGATGTAAGTAATGTAGATGTGTCACACTTAAATATGAACGTTTTTAATAATAGGCAGCAGAATTTATTCAAACAGTATATGTTTATCTCCTAATTTCAACCTATTGTTCTCACAAGCTCACTTATTTCAACCACTGCATGACACTGAATTACAGCCTCTGATGCCATCATTAACCATCAACCAGCATCCAGAAATGGTTCAAAGTTTCAACTGAACTGGATCAATCAAATGTTGCAACGCAGGAAGAATTCAACACGTCCAAATTAGACTTTCACAAATTAAATTGTGAATAGGACAGACATGACAGCTGCTTAAATAAATAAAACCAGGGCTTCTTTTTCTTAAGCCTACATTAGACAAAACCATACAAGACATGAGCTGAATCCTCCTAATAGTGATCACTTTTCTTTTTATGTTAATGTAAGCCCATACACAGACAATAGACAGGTTTGTGTATTTATCATTTTACACTTTATTTAAAATAATTTATTACCTATTACATAGCTTTGAATATGTGTTATCTTTCTGGAAACTTTTGAAACTTACAGGGAAAAAAAAGAACAAACTTTACAATAAAATCACTTCACCTCTTTGCTGCCTCTACTAAAGCCTTCTCATCCGGTGAGGAGGCGTAGTATTCCATGTTATTGGAAGAGAAACCGTTGGCATGGGAAAACGGATCTCCCACCAAGCAGTCTGGCTGGTCATAGTTGATCTGAACAGTGTGACACAATGACACTGCCTTGAGAAATAATAACTCCTCAGTCATCTGGATGGAGACACCACAGGGGGAAACGGAGGAGAAGAAGAAATATCACATCTTGTTCCAGACAGCGAAGTACTAAATCTCATTGTAAAGATTGGTCTTTTGAAGCAGCAAAGCACTTAGTGTTTGTACGTTTAAAAAGGTTAATAGCTATTTTTCTTTTAGGAAATAGTATTTTGGGTGTTCTGTGCAACTATAACGACAAATCTGGGTTTAAAAACAGCTGAAATGGCTATACTCCTACAAAAGAAAAAAATACATTTAATTTTCCAACTTATGTGGGAATAATAAGAGACCATGTTTGGGGGCTGAACCAAAAACTTTTAAATACAAAGCATTCATAAACTACAATAACAACATGACACATGAACTAAGAGATACACTAAAGAAGCTGCAGTAGGTTTGTTTGCAGCATCGAATGGCAAAAATGGACTGATCAGTTGGAATAGATTTGAATTACACCATCAGCTGTTCTAATTTGAGATAAAAGAAAAAAAATCTGCCATTTGTGATGTTTCTGGAACGCATTTCATAGTTTAAGAAAACAGAGAAAATTATAGATTTATTTCATCTTGATAAAAAAAATTGGCATTATTTCCCACTCTTGTTTTACTTCAAATGGAAATAAATAATTAAACAATAATAATTAGCTATTATTTCAGTGTTGATTTCAAAACAAATTCATTGATTTTGTTTTTATAAAGTTCAACTATGTGATTTTTTTCCTCCTTGAAAAAAAATCCTCTGGTTTTGTTAGTAAATTGTGTCCTGATGCATCTCAGTAATCCAGGTAAAAAAATCAAAGGAAAAAAAATTGTATAGGTCCTCTGGACGGGTTCCTCTTTAATGACATTAGAACAATTCTTAACTCGTCAGTAAGAAAAAAAACAACAACAAAGTTTTATTTATCCAATTGACGATTCCTGTTTGTTATTATATAGAAAAACAATGCAGTAACTGAAAAAATCTTTGGAGCTTTTGTTACAGAATGAAATAAAT